GGTACTTGTTGTAGTTGTAGGTTCAGTTGTAGTAGTTGTAGGTTTGGTGGTAGTTGTAGTTGTAGGTTCAGTTGTAGTCGTTGAAGTTTTGGTGGTTGTTGTTGTTGTAGATTCAGTTGTAGGCATTGTAGGTTTGGTTGTTGTAGTAGTGGTTGCTTCGGTTAAAGTCGTTGAAGGTTTGCTGGTAGTTGTAGTGGTTGCAGTTGAAGGTTTAGAAGTTGTTTTTGTGATGGCCACTTTGGTTGTCTTTGTTGTAGTAGGAGTGGTCTGTTTCAAAATCTCTGGTGGGGCAGTGGCTGGGTCACATATTGTTTTTTGACAGCAAGGATCTTCTGGGTCTTCAACAATCTTGCAATTATTAAAAACACTACCAGATGTCAGTGGGAGGCATCTGAAATATAATACTAAAGTCAGGCCAAGAAATGGTCTGGTTTATGCAACACCCATTAGATGTCGCATATGAACTTCAGTCTTGCCCATTGCATTTTCAATGTTAAGTTGGTAAGGTAATTTTATTCGTTTATATACCATTGGTGCATTCCAGAAGTGTTGCATTTGGCTTGGGACTACGGCATCCAAAATATATTCCGATGAAACTGTTATAATTTCCCAAAATGACATAAAAGTTTATTTAACAACTATTGGGTATCAAACTTAACATGGTTATATTTCTTTTATTTCTTTTTTTTTAACCTTCCATTTTAAATTTTTTGTTTTAAATTTGCTAACATATGTCTTTTAATATTCCTTTATTCTTACTTACTAATGGTTTTATCCAACTATGATGCAGTGATTGTAATTATCCAACCCTCGGATTGCAAGTTTGGTAATAATAATAATAATATAACAATTAATTGTTTGTTCTTTTTTAACGACTACTTAATTTTCTGTGCTGTATCTGCATACTGATTTGCATTATAGTATGATTGATTTGTGACAGCAACAGGTTAGATGCATAGTTAAATGCATGATCATAAAATGATAAATCAATTATCATAAAAGGGCGAGCAAGATGGAACTTACCTTGGCTTGCTATGTATGAAAAACGGAGGAGCAACACAGGTGTGAATTTGACAGTTGTCTTCCCACACTTCACCGCCACTGTACAGTTTACCCTTGTAGGTACATTTTGGTTCAGGTAATGTGGTGGTGGAGGCAATGGTAGAAGTGGTAGGTTCAGTGGTAGTGGTTTGGGGTTTGGAAGTAGTTGTAGTCGTGGGCTCAATTGTGGTTGTAGGCTCAGTTGTAGTGGTAGCTTTGGTTGTTGTTGTAGTTGTAGGTTCAGTTGTAGTTGTTGTAGCTTTGGTAGTTGTTGTAGTTGTAGGTTTAGTTGAAGTCGTTGTAGCTTTGGTGGCTGTTGTAGTTGTAGGTTCACTTGTAGTGGTAGCTTTTGTTGTTGTTGTAGTTGTAGGTTCAGTTGTAGTCGTTGTAGCTTTGGTAGTTGTTGGGGTTGTAGGTTCAGTTGTAGTGGTAGCTTTGGTTGTTGTTGTAGTTGTAGGTTCAGTTGTAGTCATTGTAGCTTTGGTAGATGTGGTAGTTGTAGGTTCAGTTGTAGTCGTTGTAGGTATGGTGGTAGTTGTAGTGGTAGGTTCAGTTGTAGTCGTTGTAGGTTTGGTGGTTGTTGTGGTTGCAGGTTCAGTTGTAGGCATTGAAGGTTTGGTGGTTGTTATAATGGTAGCTTCAGTTGTAGTCGTTGAAGGTTTGCTGGTAGTTGTAGCGGTTGTAGTTGAAGGCTTAGAAGTTGTTTTTGTGATGGCCACTTTGGTTGTCTTTGTTGTAGTAGGAGTGGTCTGTTTCAAAATCTCTGGTGGGGCAGTGGCTGGGTCACATATTGTTTTTTGACAGCAAGGATCTTCTGGGTCTTCCACAATCTTGCAATTATTAAAAACACTACCAGATGTCAGCGGGAGGCATCTGAAATATAATACTAAAGTCAGGCCAAGAAATGGTCTGGTTTATGCAACACCCATTAGATGGCGCATATGAATTTCAGTCTTGCCAAATGCATTTTTCAATGTTATAAGTTGGTAAGGTAATGTTATGCGTTTATATTACATTGACGCATTCCAGAAGTGTTGCATTTGGCTTGGGACTACGGCATCCAAAATATTGATTCCGATGAAACTGTTATAATTTGCCAATGACATAAAAGTTTATTTAACAACTATTGGGTATCAAGATAAACTTGGTTTATTCATTTTTTGTTCTTTTTAACGACTTTCTTATTTGTCTGTGCTATATCAACATACTGATTTACATTATAGTAAAATGATCATAATTAAAAATTGTATGATCTGTGACAGCAACAGGTTAGATGCATAGTTAAATGCATGATCATAAAATGATAAATCAATTATTATAAAAGATGATGCTTTTAAGAGTCTCATTAAGAATATTATGAAAATTTGTCAGATTCAACAATATATACAAAAAAAAGCACCAGGCTAGAATATTGTTACTGTCTTCAAGGGCGAGCCAGATGTATCTTACCTTGGCTTGCTATGTATGAAGAACGGAGGAGCAACACAGGTGTGAATTTGACAGTCGTCTTCCCACACTTCACCGCCACTGTACAGTTTACCCTTGTAGGTACATTTTGGTTCAGGTAATGCGGTGGTTGAGGCAATGGTAGAAGTGGTAGGTTCAGTGGTAGTGGTTTGGGGTTTGGAAGTAGTTGTAGTCGTGGGCTCAATTGTGGTTGTAGGCTCCGTTGTAGTGGTAGCTTTGGTTGTTGTTGTAGTTGTAGGTTCAGTTGTAGTTGTTGTAGCTTTGGTAGTTGTTGGAGTTGTAGGTTCAGTTGTAGTGGTATCTTTGGTTGTTGTAGTAGTTGAAGGTTCAGTTGTAGTCGTTGTAGCTTTGGTAGTTGTTGTAGTTGTAGGTTCAGTTGTAGGCGTTGTAGGTTTGATGATTGTTGTAGCGGTAGCTTCAGTTGTAGTCGTTGATGGTTTAGAAGTTGTTTTTGTGATGGCCACTTTGGTTGTCTTTGTTGTAGTAGGAGTGGTCTGTTTCAAAATCTCTGGTGGGGCAGTGGCTGGGTCACATATTGTTTTTTGACAGCAAGGATCTTCTGGGTCTTCCACAATCTTGCAATTATTAAAAACACCACCAGGTGTCAGTGGAAGGCATCTGAAATATAAGATTAAAGTAAGGCCAAGCAATGCTCTGGTTTATGCAACAGCCAATAAGGGTTGCATATGTATTTTTGTCTTGCCCAATGCATTTTTCAATGTTAAGTTGGTAAGGTAATTTTATGCGCTTGTATTACAGTGGTGCAATCCCTGAGTGTTGCATTTGGCTTGTGGCCTCGGCACACAAGATTTCCAATTAAACTGCCATACTTTGCTTATTTGATATAAACACTTATGTTCTTATTACAATTTGCTGATTTGTCTGCGCTATACCTGCATTATGAATTCCTTCATAATGCAAATTATTACAATTTTTAGAACTATGCGTTATCTGATAGCAGCAGTTTTGATACATAGTTTTGGATATGAACTCAAAAAATTAGGTAATTAATCATCCTCAAGGTAAAGATTTAAAGAGCTTCTCAGCACTTTTGACACCGAGTCCATAATATCGATATTAAAGTTTGGAAGTTTAAGCAATGTACATAAAAAGCATCAGAATAGAAAATTTGNGGGGGAATAGTTGGGGGGAATTGTCCGGGGGGGAATTGTCCTGATACCAAAATTTGGTACTGCTTTCAAGGGCAATCCAGAAGTATCTTACCTTGGCTTGCTATGTATGAGGAACGGAGGGGCAACACAGGTGTGAATCTGACAGTCGTCTTCCCACACTTCACCGCCACTGTACAGTTTACCCTTGTAGGTACATTTTGGTTCAGGTAATGCCGTGGTTGAGGCAATGGTAGAAGTGGTAGTTTCAGTGGCAGTGGTTGTAAGTTTAGTGGTGGTGTTTGTAGGTTTTGTGGTCGTGCTTGTAGGTATTTGAACAGTGGTTGTGGGTTTTGTGGCAGTGGTTTTGGATTTTGTGGATGTGGTAAGGATTTTGATAGTAGTGGATGTGGGTTCAGTTGTACTGGTTGTAGGGGTTTGTTTCAAAATCTCCGGCGATGCAGTAGTTTGGTTACAAATTACTTTTTGACAGCAGGGGTCGTCTGGATCCTGTATGATCTTACACTTATTATTGCCTCCATTTATCGCAGGCTGTGGGCATCTGGAATAGTACGTTAAAATTAGCAATATTTTGTTTCATCTTTCATAAGTGTGTTTTGGGCTTCACAGCAAATGGTTTAAAAACACCAATACATGTTAAGTGAATCTTTGAAAATGTAGTTGCTTTAAATCAACTCATTAAAATCTACATTTTATGAAACAATCTAAAATACATTGTGTAGGAGTTCAAATTATAATATGTATAAAAAAGCAATTGTCAAAAAGCATAAAAGCATACAGTTAACTGGATTGGAATCGTTTCCAAGTGTAAGTAAGGGGTATCTTACCTCGGCGTGCTATGTATGAAGAACGGAGGAGCAACACAGGTGTGAATCTGACAGTCGTCTTCCCACACTTCACCGCCACTGTACAGTTTACCATTGTAGGTACATTTAGGTTCATGTAATGTCGTGGTTGAGGCAATGGTAGAAGTGGTAGGTTCAGTGGTAGTTGTTGTAAGTTCAGTTGTTAGATTTGAGGTTGTTGTTTTGGATTCCTTTTTAGTGGTTGTAATTGTTAGAGTTGTGGTTGTTGGTTCAGTGGTTGTGGGTTTGGAAGTTGTGGTTGTATTTTCGTTGCATATTACTTTTTGACAGCATGGGTCGTCTGGATCCTGTATGATTCTACACTTATTATTGTCTCCATTTATCGCCGGCTGGGGGCATCTGGAATTAATAATCAGCAAAAATCAGCATTTGTTCTAAACAAAGGCATATTAAATTTTTTGCAGGGCAAAAAAGCTTTGAAAAAGTAAAATTATAATTACAACAACTGAACATTTGCTGGTTTGAAAGCTTGAAGAAAATTCAATTAAGCACAACTCAATGATTTCTTACCTTGGCGTGCTATGTATGAAGAACGGAGGAGCAACACAGGTGTGAATCTGACAGTCGTCTTCCCACACTTCACCGCCACTGTACAGTTTACCCTTGTAGGTACATTTTGGTTCAGGTAATGCCGTGGTTGAGGCAATGGTAGAAGTGGTAGGTTCAGTGGTAGTGGTTGTAGGTTTAGTGGTCGTGCTTGTGGGGTTTTGAACAGTAGTTGTGGGTTTTGTGGCAGTGTTTTTAGATTTTGTGGATGTGGTAGGGATTTTGATAGTAGTGGATGTGGGTTCAGTTGTAGTGGTTGTAGGGGTTTGTTTCAAAATCTCCGGCGATGGAGTAGTTTGGTTGCATATTACTTTTTGACAGCAGGGGTCGTCTGGATCCTGTATGATTTTACACTTATTATTGTCTCCATTTATCGCAGGCTGTGGGCATCTGGAATCGTACATTCAACTCAGCAATATTTCGTTTCATCTTTCATAAGTGTGTTTTGGGCTTCACAGCAAATGGTTTAAAAACACTCAACATGTGAAATAAATCTTTGAAAATGTAGATGGTTTAACTGATTAAAATCGACATTTTATGAAACAATTTTAAAAACATTGCATAGGAGTTCAAATTATAATGTGTATAAAAAAGCATTTGTTTAAAAGCATACAGTTACAAGTTTTCGAATCGTTTCCAAGTATAAGTCGGGGATATCTTACCTTGGTGCACTATGTATAAGGAACGGAGGAGAAACACAGGTGTGAATCTGACAGTCGTCTTCCCACACTTCACCGCCACTGTACAGTTTTCCCTTGTAGGTACATTTTGGTTCAGGTAATGTGGTGGTTGAGGCAATGGTAGAAGTGGTAGGTTCAGATGCGGTGGGTGTTAATTTAGTTGTGCTGTTTGTGGGTTTAGTGGTCGTGCTTGTGGGGTTTTGAACTGTGGTTGTGGGTTTTGTGGCAGTGGTTGAGAATTTTGTGGATGTGGTAGGAATTTTGATAGAAATGAGTGAGGGTTCAGTTGTAGTGGTTGTATTTTCGTTGCATATTACTTTTTGACAGCAGGGGTCGTCTGGGTCCTGTATGATCCTACACTTATTATTGCCTCCATTTATCGCCGGTTGGGGGCATCTGGAATTAATAATAATAATAATAACACATTTTACATTGAGTTCAGTAATATTTTGTTTCGTCCTTCATAAATATGTTTGGGTTTCACAGCAAATGGTTTTAAAACACAAAACGTGCAATAAAATTTGAAAGAGTAGAATAGTTTAACTCAAGTATTTCTCGTCGACATTTTACGAAACAATAAAACGAATAAAATACGTTGTGTAGCAGTATAAATGATAACATGTCCAATAGACAACGGAGTACCGTTACAACGTACCTCAAGGCTTATTTCCGAATTCAAAGAATATAAAACTGCATTCAAATATAACTGAATGCAGCAAAAAGTTAACTGGGTTGGAATCTTTTTCAAACTCAATTTAGGGATATCTTACCTTGGCGTGCTATGTATGAGGAACGGAGGAGAAACACACGTGTGAATCTGACAGTCGTCTTCCCACACTTCGCCACCACTGTACAGTTTACCCTTGTAGGTACATTTTGGTTCAGGCAATGCAGTGGTTGGGGCGATGGTCGAAGTTGTAGGTTCAGGTGTGGTGGTTTTAGGTTTTAGGGTGGTGGATTTGGTGGTGGTTTTGGGTTCAGTGGTCGACACTTTAATGGTAGTTGTTGTGGGCTCTGTGTTGCTGGTGGTTGGTGCAGCAGTTGATTTAGTGACAGTGGTTGTTAATTCAGTAGTAGAGGTCTTCACGACTGGGGTTGCAGAGGTGGTAATTTTTGGAGTAGCTCGCACTGTGCTTGTAGAAGCTGATTTTGCAGTAGTTGGCTTTGTCTCTGCACGTGTACTCATTTGAGGCGGAGTTGTGGTCAGCTTCAAAATCTGTGGCGATGCAGTAGCTTGGTCGCAAATTGTTTTTTGACAGCACGGATTTGCTGGGTCTTCTACAATCCTACAGTTATTGAAGACACCGGTAGATGTCAGTGGGTGGCACCTGTAATAAAAAACAATTCATTGAAAAAGAGGGCACCTCGTGGCATTTGAATAACGTGGATTTCACTAACTGTCCTTCTTTCTTGCTTAAATGGTGCTTCAACGTGCATTATTATTATTATTATTATTATTATTATTATTATTATTATATTATGCTGAGTCCCAATATGCTGAATTTTACCTGGAAGCCACTGCTTGCAAACTTACGTTGTATAAACTATTGAGTACCCTGTCGACAAAGTGCTTTATACTATCAATTAACCTTTTGCTCTGAAAATCACGCAAGACGCAAATGGACCCGCATAGACAACTCTGTAATATGACACTCATTGATGTAATGGATGGCGTGTTAACATTATCTTAAAACGCCATCTATTGATATAATGAATAAGACAATGTTAACAGGTAAATGCCTTGCGAAATGGCTCTCCACTAACTGGGGATTCAGAAACGGTGTCATTCATATCTTACCTTGGCTTGCTATGTATGAAGAACGGGGGAGCAACACAGGTGTGAATTTGACAGTCGTCTTCCCACACTTCACCGCCACTGTACAGTTTACCCTTGTAGGTACATTTTGGTTCAGGTAATGTCGTGGTTGAAACAATAGTAGAAGTGGAAGGTATAGTTGTGGTTATTGTAGCAGTGGAAGTGGACCCTGTAGTTGACTTAGGAGTGGGTGTGGCAATTGGTGGTGGGTCACACTGTAGTTTGCCACAGCAATTGTCGTCTTGGGCTTTCACGACTCTGCACCGGGCAGGTAGCTTGTCGAATTTAGGGCAGCTAGAACGAATTGCAGTGCATACATACTTAATTTTGTATGGTGAACCCCCTCTCTCCCCAAGAAAAATTGAAAAGCGGAAACTCAACATTTATATCATACACAAACGAAAGCAACGTAATTGCAATATGACGCTATATATTCTGAGTTATTTTTAAAATTATGGTCTGAATACGCTATATAAAGCTGTAGTACGATAGACTTAACGCAAGATTTATAATGTATCATGGGATTCAATTACCATGAGGCACATTCGTCGTTGGTACCCATTGCTTTTTGCAAAACAGGATTCTAAAATAAAATGTTTATGAAATATGCCAATTGTATCTACCTTTCCGTGCAATGTATGAAGGCTGGGGCTGCGATACAGGTGCAATTCTGGCACTTGTCCACCCACTGTACCCCCTCTTCATACTGGATACCCTTGTATGAGCATTTCGGAGTGTCAAAGTGCTCCGGAGGGTTCATGGTTTTTGCTTTAGCGCCAGCGTCCTTACAGGGGTCATCTGACTCGAGATTAGCAAGAGTGTCACATTCGTTTGTTCTCTGGTTGAAAACCATGTAGGATTCGCAGGTCTGCTCTCTGAACGAGTGCCCGAGGAGACAAATTGTGTACCTCCGGCAGTCGTTTGGGACTTTTGCTTTCCCTTGCATTACCCCATTACATGCATTTTCGCCTGTGGTGAAAAAAGTGGATGGGAGTAAATTATTTCCGCACACGCAATTAAGACGTCCATCATCTAATAGCGAATGCTTAAAACAATCACTAAACCTCATATTTGAATTTCTAAAATTGTGTACGTTATACTCACTTTGGTTCTCTCTTCCATATCCATTTTGCCGACCTTTTCCAGTTGTGTCTTGCCCCTAGAATGCGTTTATTTACAATCATAGTGGTTTATTTAATAAGGAATTAATATTTTCTTGAGTTGATATCAATATCACGTCTATGCTTTATTTATCGATATCTTCCAGAGTGTTCTCGTTATGCGAAAAATAACAAAATGTTTAACATTCACAGTTATAATAAGGTTTGAAATTGTAAAAGGGCTTATTGCAAATAATTTTTTTAAATAAGTTAATTCAATAGCTCAAGGTTATACTTCGGATCCCGTAGACGGCGTGCGTTAGTACTCACCAGAGAAAATGTCACCAAAATCAGACAAACTATCCAAGTTTTCTGCATTTTTACGTATATATTGGCACCATCTACAAACAGCACCAGCAAGATCGTGGTGCATCAAAAGACACACTGTGTTCGCGCAAAAATAATCTCGAATATACCAGGACAAATAGGTTATCAGGAAAGGCGCATTTACACATAAGATTCTATCAAAATGCGACTCGGTTTTGTCGGTTTTTAAAAACCAGTGTCCTCTTTTATTATTGCATTTCAGCAACCCAACTTGGCGCGTTTTATTGACTTTTTCTTACATTTCTTTATTCCTTATTAATCTATTAAATTATTTGTTTATTTTGCATTTATTTACCATAATTGAGTTTGAAAAGCGACCAACTTGCACATCACTTAGATTTGAACCACAACGTGTAAACGGTCCAAACTCTGCAGTATACCATTTGACAAGGTTACTGTACATCCACAGCTGTTGAAGATAAAACCGCAGTGGTGGGCGGAACTTTGAGAACACTTGCACATGTAACTGCTTGGGGTTGTGCAGCATAAAACCTATATAAGGTATAGCATATTTGGAGAACCGCCATCATTTTTAAGTAGCTACAATGTATGTAAATCAGATAGTAGTAACGGGGAAAACTGCATTCACCTCGTCTGCCTACCGCAAAGAAAGTTATCTGTAAAAGATGTGTCCGGTTGCTCGGTATCAATGAAATTGACAGACAGGCTCTGTTCCCAAAATTGGACAAAGATCGCGACCTTGACAAGAGTAGGGTCTTTCACTGAACTCTCTTATTTCCGTTTAATACCAAAACTGCAGTCTTCTTTGGCGCAACATATATACGAGTGGTTATTTTTGGTCTAAATGATAAGACTATCAAGGCCTAAGTTTTTGTGGAATGGTCCCTGGTATCGTAAGCCGGAAACTAGTGTATAAGGTGTAGCGCAGGATCAAGAACGGAGGGGGGAGAAAGGGGTTATCACTTCAAAGCGGATCTTGTCACGTTTCCCCTTTTCATTCATTTCTATAAGTTAAATGAAGATTTATCACTGTTCTCTATTAGAATAATTTAGTATTCAAAAAGAAAAAATTAAAAATTTGAAAAATTGCATAAAAATGAAGAAAAGGTAAAAATAATGAAGCGCGTATTGGTGATCATGACTTGGAAAATTAAGGGGGCGCTATATACAGAGTTAATGATTTATTGGAATATTTTTTATCATTGTTATTTTTCGACGCAGATTACATTTTTGCTTTATTAATCAAAAATGTATGTCATCGAGTGATAAAAATTCCTTCTGTTGTGAGATATTTTGGTCAATAATATCAAATCTGACATAAGATGTCATTCAAAAGAAAAGAACACCCCCAGAAAACCATATCAACAGTTTGATGTCAGTATAAACTTTAATCTAAGATATTACAGAATATGATAGCGTCCGGAAAGTGATATGCTATACAGTCAAATAACTCAATAAAGTAAATCATGAAAAGAAATCAATAGGGGATCCTTGGAACACGTGTCCTTTTATTTTCTGGGTCCTCTTTTCATACAGGTACAAATATGCCATACTACTAATGGCGATCATTTTTTCATCTTTGAACACCCCACCCCTTACTTCATTAAAACCCACCCTACCCTAGAAAATCCTCAGTCCGGTGTAACGTGACAGAGAGTCCCCCATGCTAGAGAGTCTGCTTCCCATTTATTTGTGCAGGAAAGCCTCGCCCTGGATTTGACCCACTTAGGTCAGGCTAACCCGAACCATTATAAGTATATGTAGGCTGCCTTTTTGTTACACTGACCCTCAGTATCGTCACACCGGCAGTAGCTAAGACGCCGCCACAAGGTCTCTACCCTATAGGGGGACCATTCTCACAAAGGACACTCTTGCAACACAGTCCTTCGGTGGTAATGAGCCGGCAACCCGCGGGTAACGTGTCAAGATTCCACTCGTAGCATCTGTAAGACAAATCAACTGATTTATGCTTAATGCTGTTGGCTTCTTTGCAACCCCGTAAATAGAAAATATGTGTACTATTTCTATGTATATTTATTATTTATACCATATCATTACGTAATTTTATAACTCAATACAATTTAATGCCATTTCTTTCACAAGACGGGACCTTTCAGTAAAAGCGGCCGTCCCCGGCCAAATTTCCATACTTATGTTGTTATTTATTCATGCTATTGTTTGCGTTAATGAGAACACATAAACATATATATTTTTATAGATGACCCGTGTTTAGAAAAAAAACTAAAAACGAACGTAAACAACAAGAAAAAACAGATGTGCGTAAGATAGCAGCATTTGTATATTGTCAATTTGCTTTTCTATAGTGTAAACTGTGTCATAAGAAGCCTGTGAGCCAAGTTGTCTAAACATTTTCAAGTAGATACAATATACAGTACTATAATGCCTACCTCTCTCCACAAGTAATCGTGTCCTGATCTTCGCATAAGCATCGTTTTTCACAGCCGATTTCAAACGTTTTTCCTACAGCATAGTATCTTCCATTATAGAAACATGACCCTGCATGGGAATAAAAATAAAGAAAATATAAAAATCTTAATGCCCTAGACCATTCCCTCCGTGCAAATTATGTATCAACTTATCAATTAACTATCATGTTGACAACGTTTTCAAATCAGGCACATAAAATCAAAAACACTAGATGGCAGTAGAAGCCTTCAGTAGCGTTACAATTACAATATCTGATACACATCTATCTAGACATTTATATTTGTCATAGTAATATATAGTAATATATAGAGAAAATATGGCGTCCTTTACCTCCTGGTGGTTTCGTTGACTTGGTGTCTTTCGGCGTGGTTGTAGTTGTTGGCGGCTCAGTTACGGTGGTTGTGGTTTTTGGTACAATTTTTGTAGTGGTAGGTTTGGCTGTGGTTGTGGTGCTTGTTGGCGTTGTTGTGGTTGTTGTTGGTTCAGTTGTTGTGGTTGTTGTTGGCTGAGCTGTGGTTGTTGTTGGTTCAGTTGTTGTGGCTGTTGTTGGCTCAGTTGTGGTTGTTGTTGGTTCAGTTGTTGTGGCTGTTGTTGGCTCAGTTGTGATTGTTGTTGGTTCAGTTGTTGTGGTTGTTGTTGATTCAGTTGTTGTTGTTGTGGTAGGTGTTGTTGTGGTTGTTGTTGGCTGAGCTGTGGTTGTTGTTGGTTCAGTTGTTGTGGTTGTTGGTGGCTCAGTTGTGGTTGTTGTTGGTTCAGTTGTTGTAGTTGTTGTTGGCTCAGCTGTGGTTGTTGTTGGCTCAGTTGTGGTTGTTTTGGGTTCAGATGTTGTAGTTGTTGTTGGTTCAGTTGTTGTTGTTGTGGTAGGCGTTGTTGTGGTTGTTGTTGGCTCAGTTGTTGTTGTGGTAGGCGTTGTTGTGGTTGTTGTTGTAGGAGTTGTTACTGTTGTTGTTGTTGGTTTTCTTGTAGTGGTGGTAGATATGGTTGTTGTTGTTGTTGTTGTTGTAGGCGTTGTTGTGGTTGTTGTCATGGCTGTTGTGGTTGCAGGTTCAGTCTTTGTTGTTGCTTTGGTTGCTTTGGTCGTAGTAGTTGCTTTAGAGGTAGCGGTTGGTTTGGTTGCAGAGACTGTCGGTTTACTCTTCGGCACTGTCGATTGCGTTTTAGGCGTGTTTGTTACCTTTTGATCACCTGAAAATAATTAATGTATTATCAAAACATTTCAAAGAATTAATTATAATACTCACGACGGAAAATGTGAAACTTTTTTTCCGAAATCCATTACCCATAGTCTTATTTACTTTGACGTGTAGGTATAAATGTGATGATGTGAGCCTCCTGTCTGGTTTCGGATTTATACAGGGTGGTTCAAAAGATGTATCCATTCTATTATCGCTATCGTTTCTAAGAAAATTAACATATAGACAAGTGAACATGGATACTGTGATTTGTCAGCAGGATAGAACAACATTACATTCTCAACACCAATATTTTATAAGTTTTCCCCTCTGGATTATTTTCTGTGGTGAGACCTTAAGTACAGTCTTAATGGCATAAATCCTAAACTATTGATGCGCTCAAGATCAACATTCGAATGGAGACCAGAAGCTCCATGACGTGTAAGACAGCGTCATTACTAACTTTAGTGCCGGAGTAGCCACAGTTACCCAGCGCCAAAGATATTGACTATGGAGCTATGGAGCTGAGCTTGAAAAATGGTGATATATGAGAAAAAACTTAAACCACGTATAACTTACGTGTCCGTTCAATAAAAATTGCTACTTTATCAACAATGGATACATTTTTTTAGACCATCCAGTGTAAAGTCGGTAGCCGGTGCCTACCCTAAATCTTGACTTTTAAAAAAAGTGTTCTACCTTTATCCATCCCTATAACTCAATGGATTAGCAAATGGAATGTAAAATCAGTAAACATTTGCAATGATTAATAACTTGAAATAAGCAGGGTCGTTAATTAATGACCAGCATGTTAGCCTAATAGCGGCTGATTCCCTAGTAAACTATTTCGTTACAAATTTACAAAGCAATCCTCCAATGTGTTACCTTTGCAAGGAGTCGTGGGATCACCCTTGTAACATTGCCAAAATAGATTGAAGACTTTGCCATCTGTGCACGTCCGTTTGGAAGTCACGATGAAACTCAAGCAGGTATAATACACGCGGCAGTCGTTCGCGTCGGGAGCAGTGCCAAAGGGTACAAATCTGCACGGATTATCACTGAAACCTTAAAATACAAATAATTAATAATAGTATTTTAGCGAATTTCTTTCATTTTCTCCTTAAATTTAACACTGATTTTTTAATCTCATTTGGACTGACGAGAAATTATTGGTGCATTTAGGTATTTAAATAAATGCATTGCAATGATACTACTCAAAATACACACATATGCCTTTCAATGAACACTCTAGAATTGATAAAGTTGTCAATAAAAGTCAAGGTTGCTTACCCCACCTGGCTGTATTTTCGGAGTTTGTGTTCAATTTTGATGGTGAAGTTGTCGGTTTTGTCGGTTTCGAAGTTGGAACAGTAGGAGTCGTTTTCACTTTCGAGAAAAAATGTCAGACCATTGTATAATGCGTTAAATGAAAGAAATGAAGATGCACACAAGAATGGATATCACAAACTCGGACGCACACACATGCACGCACACTCATACAAAGAGTATACCATTTCGTTTATCTTACATACATTATGACTAATTTTTGTTAAGCGAATAACAAGCTCTCTTACCTTTACAAGGGACAGAGGACTCTTTCGTGTTACATCTTTTATATTTGTGAAAGATTTCTCCATTTTTGCACGTGAAACGCCCCGACACAGCTCTACCGCGACACTCCAAATACTTCCGACAGTCGGTGGGATCAGGAACGCTTCCGTAGTATCTTCTCGAGCACGGATTTTCGTCGTCATCTTAAAGTAAGATGGTTTCAAAGATAATTTTCACATGGCTTTTAATAGGACCAGGACACTTCAAAGATTTTTCTTTGGCACTGATAACCAAAATGGCTTAGATCGGCAACATCAAAATTACATTTCTCTTCTCACTTGTAGCTATGGGTCGGCACAGGCTAACATGCGAGAATGTCGTACGCTTGATATTAGCTTCACACTCATACTGTACGCTTCTCACAGCACTTTAAGACTGGGTCGATCAATCTCTAAGGGGTTTCTCGCTAAATTGCCCTCAGCTTGAGCGGCTTAGATGTCTGGCACGCCTATTGAAGCTGAATGATTTTGATTACCCCCTAGCTGCTTCAGTAGGCGTGACAGACATCTAAACCGCTTAAGTTGATTGCAATTTAGCGAGAAACCCCTTGGAGATCGATTCATAATTAGTATGATAGGGCCTGGGAATGGTCTTTTAATTGCTCATCAGTTTGTGATTATAACATCGCAAAACAAAGCAAGACAACGTAAGGCACATTAGATGAATAATAGAAAAAGTCTAAAACACAAGATCTTTATACAATTCAAAAGTAATCCATTATAATTCAAGGAACCTTTATAATCTACTACTACGCGGAATTGTCTCTGGCAAATACAGATTTTGAACCAACTGTAGGGCCTATGCTTCTTCGCTGTAACAATTTAATGCAAACATAGAACAGTGAATATTATGGGAATTTTAGAGACAGCCGCAGATGGCAAATACGATTACACTTTCAAGTTACGCCGCGTCCACCTTATTACTTAATACACAAGTCTTTATGAATTCGGACACGAAGACACCTATAGTAAAGATAGAATTATACGAATCGAATCAGAGTTCTTGATCTTTGATTGACCTTTGGAAATACATGTACATCGTTCTTTAATGAAATGTTAAGGTAATTCCTATGTGTATACAGAGGTTGTCTTGTCTCCAAAAGCGCAGAACTTTTTAGTAAAAATGTTGAAACGTACGGGGAAGTTCCGCCATTTTATTTTAATAAATGTGATGTACAATTATATGTTTAAACTTTCCCGAGTTCACGTTCGCATTCAGCATAAGGTGGAACATCCACATGTATACATAAGCAAATAAACCGTTAATTGCCTTACATGTTCGATGGATGATTCGACGAAACTATACAATTGTTTGTTATGGGCTCTTTTGACAGGTGTGCGCCTAAAACAACCAATCAACACAACTATAGGTGATACTATACCTTTGTCACTGGAGCCTCCGTATCGATCTCTCCAGTAGCTTCCCCATGCGTGTGTGTGCGAAAGGTGTAGCTGCAATGCAAAAGGACATGTACCAGTACGACTATCCATCTACATATTAATTTTCATTATTAAAAGACAAAATCAAGGACCTCCATGAGTTTGCAGAAGTAGACAGCTACATGTAAACTGTGATTATTAGTACTTTCACGGAAAAAAAAACCGGGAACTTGCAAAAATAGACGGCATTGAAAACACCCCAAAACAGCTAATTATTGACCTTGGAAGATTGTAAAAAAAAAGACAATTTTATCTGGTAGCGCCAGTTTGAGTTGTTCATGCACTTGTACACTGCAGCTCATCTTCGCGCAGCTGTGGGCCTTTTTCTTAAGACTCTATGTGAAATCGTTTCTGACATATTACTGTTATTTAACAAAGCTGAATGGTGGCAGTGATGTGAATCCCGTTTTGACAGTTCTCATTTTCCACGTAAAGGTACATATTTCAGTTACGTCAGTAAATGACGCATTCTGTGTAAAATTTTGACTTGCCCTATTGTTTTTGCTGTTTTATACTAAATTTTCACCAAAATAAAAATGAATCAACAGTCATTATAAAGTATTCTAAAACAGTTACGCATGTACAACACGAAATGACGCGCCTTTGATGTAATTCACACGGTCCCTTTTTGTAAAATGACTCCAAAAATTATTATTAATCATACCACAAGATTACTCTCACTTACATTGTAAATGAACACTTATATCAATAGTTCGTTGTTAAAAGTTCATTTTATAATGTTAAACCACGAAATCCAGAGAAACGTACCACAAGGCAGCAAAAGAGGACACGCGTCGACAGCATTGTTACCAATGGCAGTGGCTTGATACAGCGTACTCACCGACAGATTTATACAGGTTCGGTGGAAACAGAGGAACGCTTAAACCGGCACAACCAAAAACACGTGGCTTTACACGAGAAAATTATGTAACACGTAGGTCTAGCTCTCCATGACCCAAGTTTAAGTAAGTATTATTCGTCGGGCACTGATACTGGTGACAAACAAGAGCGTTGTTTTTGCCCAGAAATGAACCAATTTAAATGCGATTTAGTGTCACCTTGACCTTAATTTTTAAAGTAATAAGGCAAGACGCATGGTCTTTAATAAGTTCCTTGATAAAAGAAATTTATTTTATCACCATTTGGACTGAACCTTTTAATCTAAAAAATGATACATAGCCTTTTAATCAAGCAATCAAACTCCCTAATAAGGAATATAATTAACATTTTATACTTACAATGGGGCCATGGGGCATTTTAAATACAAAATGAAATTAAAAAATAAACACAATTTGTCTTTATATTCACAGTGATGCAAAATCTAAAATTATTATATCCTTATATAAATTAGCCTTTTTTTTTTTTTTTTTTTTTTTTTGGGGTGGGGGGCACTAATTCCTGTATTACTTACGGTTCATTCCCATCGAAACTAGGGAGATGGATCCAACTCCGCAGGGACTCTTGCTTAATGCAATCAGTTTAACAATTAGTTTGCTTACAACATACTCGTATAATAACCAGATTTTCTGTATTCTACTCAACACAAGGAGGATGCGTGTTAATCTGTTTAACTGGGTGTATTCAGCTGGAGTCCCTGCGGACTTGGATCGATCAATGTAGATTGATAGTTTCATTGGGAATGAGCCTTTATTCCAGCTGCCAAGTTATCAACCCAAACTGTGAAATGATTTGTTTTGACACTTCATATACTGTACCTTTCAATATTTAAACGTACGCATTCAACAAAAGAAAAACAAAAGCTCTATAAATGGCTCTCATTGTTTCTTTATTTCAAATTTGTTTTCCATTCTTGCTCTACAATTATTTATTCGCCCATGTCACAAAATAACAAAATCACTTGTTTCTAGTTGCAGTTAATTTATACATGAACATTGACGTACTTGTCTCGTCCATGTCTCTGTGCAAGTCGTTATTCCAGTGATTTTATTGCACATATTTTCATGACGTGCGTGATGAGTGTGTGTGTTTTTTTTTTTTATCCGTTAACATAACGTATACATTGTATTGGTCAACGACCATTGGGAGCGTTGTTGCTGCGAAGTCAACCCAAAACAGTGGGCGGATTCTCGCACACGAGGCCTGGGCAACACTCATTTGGCACAGTAACAAAACGGCAACCTGGAGGCAGGAACTGTTTATTCCACTGGTAGCACCTAGAGGGAAAGAGGATGCAAAATTTCAAGATCTTATTGTTTATTATTTTCTAATATGAAAGTGCATTCAATCATTAAAAGTAAACAGCAATAAAGCGTTTCCTCTACCTCCCCACCCGATATAGTGCTGAAATTCTAGTAAAAAGAGGTTTTTAAGTTCTCAAGAATTTCAGTATTTCTGCCATTCAGTTTTCACTTCAATTTTAATATGGATAAACGGTCAGTGTTGGTGTTATTTCGCTATCTGGTATAATTATGTAATTCGCCTGTACGCTAGAAACAGGCGCATTGGTTGTAACAAGTATAAATCACAAGCAACAGAGGGTCCAGCACGGGCGACACAATGAGCTTGCCCCCCCCCCCCCCTTGGAGCTTTGGAGCCCCCCTCTCCCCGTAATGCCTCATACTTTTTCTCTACACATTATGGAAAAAATAACCGTATTTTGTTCGTCTTTTTTTCCTCCCCTTAACACAATTCTAGGTATGCCAGTGTTCGCATCATTCCTAACCAACTACTTACTTCTCAATGCACCTGAAGACGTGCGGTGGATCTATGCAGATACAGTTCTTATCACAACCGTCGTTGAAGGTCGCTCCCTTGGCGTAGTGTTTACCTCCGATAACGCACGCCTCTGTAACAGATCAAACAGAGGAGCATTATCTTGTTTGGAATGGTACTGACTCGCACTGTGTTGGAGATCAGTTCGAACAAAGTGTGGCAGTCACTCTATTCAGTTATGAATGAGCAAGAATGAAAAAACAAGTTCAATGATGACGACCCCCCCCCTCCTTTCCTAGGGTAAATAGCTTTGTTAAAAAGATCGCCTGTACATTTTAGCTCTTAAAAACTACAAATGTGTTGTGCCAAGGCAAATTTTTATTGAGTATCTGTGAAAAACAAGATCCATAAACACATTTTCGAGGTCTTAATTTCTACATTTATTGTTAGCAGTGAGAATCACCACCTTTTCATCTCAATTACGAGATGAGAGTTGCCCAAAAAGTAGAACCTTCAAAGTTTTCAGGAAATTGATCTTATGCTTTACGAAGGTCTAACGTTCATGTTGTCACTTTAAAATGAGGCGAATAAAATGCAAAATGGAAAAAAAACCTTACTGATTTATTTCAGTGCTGGCCATTACTGATATAGACTATATCACTCTGAATCAATGATTACGTAATTACACGACAATTGGCGCGCACCAGTTACTTAACTTAGATATATGTCATCACCACGACAGAGAAGTTTCTGTTGACCATACTGACTTACCCTTTGGAGGTGGCGTTGTGTTTGTGACATTGGAGGGATCGGGAGTAACCAGTTTCTCAGTGGTTGTCTTGGCTGTGGTTGTAACGGTGGTTGTGGTGGGTTCAGGGGTTGTGGTGGTTGAACTGGTTGTGGTGGGTTCAGGGGTTGTGGTGGTTGAACTGGTTGTGGTGGGTTCAGGGGTGGTGGTTGTAAGCAGTTTCTCCGTGGTACTCCTGGTTGTTGGTTGTTCTGTGGTTGGTGTGGTCTTAGGACCATACACAGCCATATACGGCCCAACTGGGAGAAAATGTAAGATTAGCATTGAGAGATGCAAAGACATTATACATATAAAATAACAACCTTGATGAAGCGCAAAAAAGTTTATCATTATCACCAGCACAAGTGAATAAATATGTTTTTGTGTGTTTTTCTATTCCCTTTACATTTTCACTTCATCTCTTTATTAATCTATTCATTTTTGTATTATATTCTTGCTTTTGAACACACAACACCACACATCTGTTATATCACTACGTGCCTAGGCAATCGTATAAGGCAATCTGATCAAGCTTAAAGCTGCATAAAACGCTAAATTGTTTGTTCATACCTTCAAAAACTGCGAATTCTTTATTCCCTCCACATATTTGACTTTTGTCTTTCAAACAAAGTCTGTCACAATTCTTGGAAGTCTCAGCATTTCCTGGGAACTGTCCTAGAACGTAACTAAAGGTATTAAGACTCGATTCTCCTTAACAGTAAGAGACCCTTCCCAGAGACTACCGTACTAACTTTGGATCAAACTATCTCCGAGGGGTTTCTCGCTTAACTGCAATTAACTTGGGCGGTTTAGATGTCTGTCACGCCTACTGAAGCTGATAGAGGGTAATTAACTATCGTTTAAGCAGCTTTAGTAGGCGTCCCAGACGTCTAAGCCACTTAAGCTGAAAGCAATTTAGCGAGAGATCCCTTGGAGATGGACCGATCCTATGAGATCGATCTGGGGATGGGAACCCAGTCTTAGAGAAACCCCCCTCAAGGTGACATCATTCCTTCTCGCAGATATTTATCTTCTAACGTAAGCACTTATTTGAAAGAAAAGGAAAATGATATAAGTAAAAAGGGCAAAAATATAAAACGTTTCGAAAGAGATCTAAGGATGTTCTATTTTCGTCTGCCACCATAAGAAAAGAGACAATGAAAAATCCAATTTCATTAAAAAAATTATTCAAATGAAAAAATTTAAAGGTCTGAAAATGGCTAAGAATACCCCGAAAAATTCTCGGCGAAATGAAGAACATAAATCGATAGGTGATCATCATCCATATCTTCTGCCGAGTAATCAAAAATTAAGACTATGGACCTGAAAACTTGTGTTTTTGCGAAAAAAAATTCCCATTCATATTTTTTGTTAAAATTCCAAATGTTCTCATCTCGGGCCTAAATCAACCTTTATTTTCAGTTCTTATTTCTGTTGTAATTTCCAGTTCTACAAATTAATCATCTTTTGTGTAGTAATTGTACTTTAATCAATGATTAAGCAATTTTTTAATACGACGACCCATCTTTTTTTTCTACTCTTTACCCCAACCTTTTCAAATTTTAGATTTATAATTATTATCATAACCAGAAACAAGGTTACAAAATAAGCATACCTGTTCCACATCTACACCGGTCCTTTTCATCACTGCCTTCGTCGTGCTGGTAAACTCCAGCAAGAGTAAACCCATTGTTACCACAGAAATGGACACAGTCAGCGGCAGAGGACGGGTGGTAGGCAAAGTTCATATAATTCAGTACGGCGTCCAAGTCGAACGTGTTTTCATAGCAGCCCGTGTAACCTGGGATATCTGTTAAAATGCCAAAATTGAAGAAGTTATATAATCTTAATAGGTAACAAATTTGTGCGCATTTTGTTTAGATCCGGTGTAACGTTACAGAGAGTCCCCCATGATAGAGTCCGCTTGCCATTCATTTATACAGGTAAGCCTCGCCCTAGATTTTCACCCACTAAGGCCAACCCTGACCATTATAACTAAAAGGAGGGCGAACTTTCTGTTACACTGACCATCAGTTTCGTTACACCGGCTAAAGACCCTAAAAGTGTGTCGCTTAAGCGATCAGTACAATCTGGCAATCTCTGTAGCATCCAAATTTGATTACTTGCACTGCGCATTAATTGGTGCAGATACTTTTGTAAATGCGGCAATAAAACATTAATAACACTAAATTGCAGTTGTTGATGATAAATTGATCAGCAAAATTAAGAGTAGACCTACCGACGCATTTTGGCAGCTTCGAACCAAAACGTGCAGTCAACTGTCTCATCTCGGAGCTGCTAAACTGGTTGTTGTTGCCGTCTCGTTTTTGCCTTTCGTTACTGCGAGCACTGCGCTTGCTTTTTTTGCTGGGGCTAATGCCTAAATAGGTGCACTTAGTCGAGGGTGAATCGATGTTTAGTTGTTTTCCAACCTCGCAGCGTATGTCCACCTGCAAAAAAAAAAAGAGATTTGAAGTTGTACAATGTAAATAAGAGACCATTCCCAGAGACTATCGTACCAACTTTGGGTCGAGCTATCTCCAAGGGGCTTCTCGCTTAATTGCAGTTAATTTAAGCGGCTTAGACGTCTGTCACGCCTACTGAAGGTGATAGGGGGTAACTATCGTTTAGCAGCGTTAGTAGGCGTCCCAGGCATCTAAGCCACTTAAGCTGAAAGCAATTTAGCGAGAAACCCAATTATGACATCTCTCAGTCATCTAGCTAAAACAATGCATTTAAATAATTTCATTCTACTAATTTTAATTTTAATATTAAAATATACTACTAAAAGCATGTCTATGCAGATGATGCTATGCCTTCCTCTCGAGCGTTTATGCGGGACAATAAGGTTTTATTGCTTGTAGAAACAATAGATAGAAATCGGAAAGGGTACCGATCCTTTCTTGACATCTATTGATCCGCCGGGTAGGGCATACGCATTCAGAAACTCACAAGGTAGAGAGACGGTGCTTTGGGTATTGGCATCTGGAAGACAAGATCACAACTTAATATAAATGATACTTGAAATTGTTTTAATTAAAAAATTCCTGAAAGTCCATAACTCACATGCACATACATTTTGACCGAGAAAAGCCAATTTTCAAACATTGACAAAAAGTTGTTGGAATCACAATTTTTTCCCGGCCCGAGCTCAGTTTATGCCAATAAAAGAATGCTGTTCAAATCTTAGATCAGTAGAAACCTAAAACGTGCTGTTACAAAATAAATAGATAGATACACTTACCCTGGCTGTTAAAATAAGTGTCAACCTTCGCCAAGATTGCCCTGAACCATTTCATCCTGTCTTGGCCATTGACACCACTGGCAAAATGAGTCGCAGCTAGGACCTGAATGCCCAAAGTGGTACTTTTTGATGCAATATGTCATTTAACGGAGACGTGCATGTTAACTGACTATACAGTATTTCAAAAGCGCAAACCGCTGCCAAGCAAAAGAAATGATTTAGAAATATGAGGAAAGCCTGATTCAATTAAGGTTTGATCAGTCCTTTCCCTTCTGAGTAATGCTGAACTTTTGATCAAAATTTGTAAGATTTTTTTTGTTTTTGATTTTAGATAATATGTCCACTAACAAACAAACGTCCCAAACTGATGTAAAGATGGCCTCCTCTTCCGTTGGCAGGGGTCCATGTACCAACGGTGACTAAACATCATACCTGTGACACATTTTTAAGTTCAGCATTAAGGACACAAAATCGACACAAGAACAGCTCTTCATCGCCATCATTCTAATCATTATATATTGCCGATGATTTCTGCAGGCACTGACTTATCTTTATGCTAAATTGGCTGTTTTCTGTCATGTTTCTTATTTAACAGTATTGATTTATTTTTTGAAAATACATTTAAAGTGCTGAAGCTTGTTTTTAATCACATTTATTAAATATGATGAATTTTATCCAAACTTCATTATCATAAAATTAATTTTTCGTAGAATTCATGATTTCAAAAATTGCCTCAAGGATATTTTGTTTATTAAACCATATAAACACACCCAACATTAGGATGCATGCGTTTTCTACAAACCAGAAGACTTTGCAACCATACCTGACCAATAGGAAGAGTGCTTACATCCAGCGAGTTGGTAAAACACAAATAGTTAAAAATCAGTGGTAAATATTACCTGGATTGCCAGTAATAAAACCAATGCTTTGGTTGCCATGGTGATGATGAACGCTCAACCTTCTCCTGTTGCAAATGTTGACAGTCTTGGACTCTTGACAGTTTGACAGTTTACATAGAAGCTCACTTAGGGCAAAAATAATAATTCTAGGTTTCAATGAGCCTTCAATTTTATTATTTAGTTGAATAATTTCAGACATAGACATCATAACAATAGCCAAATGCAAGCATAAGCTCTTCTTTTTTTACGTACAGAATTTCATACATTTTGCTAATAAGCTACGATGGCTATGATACTGGCGTGTTTATTATTGATGCTTTGAAAGTTAAACGCCATATCCAAAAATTTAGAATTTGGATGTTACTGAAGATAAACATTTAGATGAAGGCACTACATATACTATAATTCTTCACGTTCGCAGTGATAAACTCCTAAAAATAATTTCATCATCATTCGGAATCGTAAAATTAAAGGCACTCAGACCGTTAAACATAAAATAAAATACTCTGCACCGCCATTCAGTTATCATATAATAACACACGCTATTTTATTGACAAAGTTGGCTATAAATAGACTAAACTGATAGGGCAATTTTGGATAGGAAAGATGATACACAAAATACTACACAAAGACTTATAAAACAAAGGTGTCCATGTAAATAAAAACGTAAATAACGACGTTAATACTCTGATCAAATTACCACATTCCCACCTACTATTAGTATCAAAATGTTATTTTTATGGAAATTGATTAACCAAAACGATCCAAAAACCTCCTTCTACAAAAATGGAGTGGAGTGTTCTACGATTGATGAAATTAGCACATTCCCACCTACTATTATTATCAAAATGGTAATTTTGAGGGAAATTGATGCCCAAAATGATCCAAAACCCTCCTTCTACAAAAATGGGGGTGGGGTGTTCTACGATTGATAAAATTAGCACCTTCCCACCTACTGATAGTATCAAAATGTTATTTTTTGGGGAAATTAATTTACCAAAATGATCCAAACCCCTCCTTCTACAAAAATGGGGGTGGGGTGATCTACGACGCCTCACTACTTTAAGGGGGTCTGGATTCCAATGATTGCAGGGTCTCCGCTGTTTGCCCTTGACAAACGTGATAACGTTGGTTTCAGGTTCGTCCTGTGCGATGGTAGAGTCCATCAATTGCGATATGCCCTATTTCTTACAAGAAAAAAGGTCAAATTATATTCCCTCGTCTAGTGCTTTTGTTCAAAACATACCTATCCAAACCTAAAAGCCCCCCGTCCCCATCCGCCCCCCCCCCCCCCCCCAAACCCCCCGCCCCGCCTTCTTAACTAAACACATTCACAAGATTTGGTTAACTTGACTAAATTGTATTCTGCCTTCCCACCACCCCTGGAGTAAAAGAAAATGTAAAATAACCAGGGTTCTGTACCAACACACGTATCACTAACGACCTCCAGGTCGTGTGAAAATCAACATTCCAATGGTATGAACAGATATGATATCACCTTTGGTGTCAAACTGGGATAAGTTTGATTCACCGCCGCAAAATATAAAAAACTTCGAATCGTTGAAAGACACTGAGGATATGTTTGTTTCAACGCCTCGGAAAAAAAAAACCGGTTTATTTAGCATAAAATCGAACAGACGATATAGTTGCCCGCTTTACACATGTACAATGTATTACACTTTTTTTAAGTTTCGTGAGCTAACGATCAAAACATTGTAATTACCTCCAAACTATTATGCATGATATCTTCAAGAAGTAATGCAATGAACTTTAGCTAGGGACGACTCTGAGGCAAAATACTTCGTCCGAAATAGTCCTTTTTCACTTGCTTCATATCCATCTTATCAGTTAGACCGAGCCCCAAGACATGCATTGCAGTAGGTGAGACAACAGAAGCAATCTTTCAGCGCAGTCACATTCATGGCTGGGATTTCTAACTGGATTTCTGATTGGCCACGTCACTTCTATAGGCGCATATGAGACAGCTTTTACAGTTTTTTTTCAGGGGGTTATTAAAAAAGGCGACGGATTAATTTCCCTTAGTTCCCTGCTTCCTTTGCTAATGACTGATTTGGCTGAAAAAAATCGGGGTCTGGGAGGAGGGGGGAGGAAGGGCCTCCCTGGTCCCTGTCACTAGGCCTATGTCGCAGTGGCGGATTTAGGGGGTGTCAGGGGGGGTCCTGACCACCCACCTCCTCCGAATTCTGAAAAAAAATCACACCAATGGTCCCCTCTTGAAATTAGAATTTTGACTAGCTGAATCATAGTGAATCATCATCTATGGAGTTAAGTAAATGGCGAAACAGACACAGCGATGTCCTTTTCGGGCTCAAAAGCTCTGTAGTAAAAGACGAATGCGGAATGGGCCTTGTCAATTCCGCTGCTATAGGGCTTAATAACATACGAAATAGACACGGTGCATGTCGTTTGCGCATGTAAAGGGGCGTCTGAGAGACGCACGCGTAGGCTCCTATGGCCATGGTAAATTCCAAAGGGCACCGTTCGCCCTCTAACGGTAAAATACCGAAAATTTCCGTGGACCCCCCCCCCCCCCCTCCGCCCCACTTCAAATAATCCTGGATTCGACCCTGTCTTGTCAATCACTCGCTCGATAGGCATAATACAATCTTCCTCGTCAAATCAGTCTATTTGTCGCTGTTGATATAGATTCTGTTGATGAACATGTAGTTTCTACCAGCAAATAGCGACACAAAAGAAATACTTTTTTTAATATTCACGCCTTTCATTAATTTCATTAAGGTATCCATGTACAGTATACATGTACATGCATATCAAAAAAATTATATCAGTCAGAAGTTCCAATACGGAACGCGGAACGAAATAACAGAATGAAAAATCAGGTGGCCTCAAACATAAAACATCATAAAATCATTGAAAATGAAAATTACATATTGGTGAAAATCTTATTTTTATTGAAATAATTTATTATTCCATTTAAAACTGATTGTCGGCCATTGCTCTAAAAACAATCATTTTCTTGGTGAAAGCAGTTCGATCTCATTCTCTCTCTCAAACAAGGTTAGCTTTTTTCGTAAGTAATCAAGAGACGCACAGATTACTGATGTGACATGGAAATTCCACAAATGAAGCTGGGGTAATAGCAAAAATTTTCTACTATGAAATAATAGTACCGGATACACCCTCCAGATCCGGGTTTACGGGAGGTCAGTGTGACGGGTGGGGAGGGGTCTTCTTTTCACTCTTTGGTCCCTGTGTGTGAGACCTACGTACCGTAACGTACCCTCCATTTATACATCAAAACCCGATACTGAGAGAAAGCAAAACCTAAAATCAATGACCAGGTACATGTATATATGACCCGACGTACAGGTAGCGCTTCCGTCAGTGACAGCCCCAAATACCTGTTCAAGCAGGCGATAAAGTTGACCTCATATTTGTTTACATTTGCAGCCCCCTCTAAATTTCGCAAGTTAACATGGCTTCTCTAACTGCAGGGAAAAAAAGCGGCACCCCGTCAACAGTTGTTGAAATAGCTGTATCAGCAAGGTAAGGGACGTTTAGGGTTACGGATATTTGTAAATGTACTAGTACGGACACGTTAAGTAAAATTCTTATATACATGTACCGGTAGATTCATTTTAGTATATTGACACGGTTCTTGGTCTTACTGCGACACGCTCTTACCTGTTCTAATATAAATACCGGTACATCGTATTTTAAATTAAAATATCCTTGACTAATAAGGAACGGTGGCTATGTTATAGAGAATTTGTCCGCATATGACGCAGCTGATACACGTACGATGACCTTAAAGAAAAATTGATTATGTTGACATATGTACCCCTGTAGGTTAGACATGACCATGGCACGTAGTTGTTCGCATAGGGTAAATATGTGTATGTACGTACATGTATATGTATGATTATGTCACTTCATCCCTACGGTTTGGAGCTTGTTATGGGTAGTGAAGTAACCACGCCTCGAGTCAAGGGGCCATATAGGTGGGAGGACACCTGTTAAAAATAATGGTCGTGATCCCCTTTTGACTTTGAGACACAGGGTAGGGGTCATTCACAGTTAAGACAGACTGTGGTTATCCAAGATCCAGTGGCCTCAAATACCAGTACACTGTATATACACTACAGGGTCACTTATCAGGCACTGTCAATATATAGCCCCAGATACACTCCTATTGTATGTGACAAAGGCGCGTGCCCCAGAGTATGAAGAACGCTGTGTAAGCATGGATGAGATGACTTTTATACAGTGGTGGTTACGGGATTTCAGGAAAGGAAGGGTTAGTTTGGGATAAAACACTCCACCTCCCCCCGCCCCCCCCCCCCCCCCCCTCCTTCTGACCTGTGTGTAGAAGACTCTAGTTTATTCTCATTTCGAAACCGTAAGATAAAGCTATTCACAAATACACTCAAGTGTTATTGCCCGCCCCTTGAAAATAACAGGCGCACAGTACACACATTTGTCGCCATTTTCTGACGGCTTAACTACAGGGGTATATGTATTTTGTTCTCTTTCAGGAACATTATCGACGCAGACGTATTTTCCAAGTCAGATCCATGTGAGTTAATACATGTACATTTTGTTAACTACACTTCAGTGTTGCCAAGTGGGTGGAATGTTACTTTCACTTTTGAAAAAAAGGAATTGTTCACAAACAAAAGGCATTTTGAATTGAATTAATACATCTACAGGTAGTATAGTAAGGGGGTCGTTATTCAAAACTGCATCTGTGACTGTATGTAGTATTTGTGGTACTGTATAATTAAATGCATGAAAAACTTACGAAATATTACTACTCGAATAGACTGTGACACGTAATAAACATATTTCTTTACAATATTTCTGTGATAAATTTATTCAGTATTTCAAAAAGTATGCAACTAATAATAGGTGTGACGACGTTCCTGACTTTGTCTTGGTGGCGCGAGGTAATAACTAAACAATTCCATGTTTTCCCATATCCTTTATTATCGCTTTCTAACTACGCTATCTACAGTTTATTCCTCTACGTTCAACTTCTTACATCGTTCTCTCCGTCTACATTACATTCTTCGCTTAAGTACAATAAGGTCGTGTCAATCAACTAAAGTTGACACTCCCCGATCTTATTCGCTGCACGCTGTCACTTACTAACGTTACATTGGGGTAAGACATATTTAAGACATCTTTAATATGATATCTTAAAGATGTCTTAAAGATGTCTTACCCCTCTTTTTATATAAAACCAGGGTCTACATACAAATACCAAAATACTGATTTAATAAAACAGTATTAAACTGATATACTTATATAAACGTCCCATCTTAACAAGACTAGCTTCATTCTTTTCCAGTTTGTGTTCTTCGAATAAAAGAACTGGGTGCCGCAGAGTGGAGAGAGGTTATTATTATTATTATTATTATTATTATTATTATTATTATCATTATTATTATTATTATTTATAGTCTAAAATCCAACGTATGTTCAATAGACAAATTAAAAAAGTCACAATTAAAAGAAAAACTACTAATGGTCATAAGATGCACAGAAGGAAAATAATAATAATAGAAAAAATGTTAAAGGTAAAAAAAGATATATAAAATGGATAAGAGGTGAAAATTAGAACTATAAACTTAGAACAATTGTTCGTAAAAAGCATTCTTACAAGAATTTAAAAGTAAAATAAGAGGGATCATTTTTACTATCATTTTTATCTGTTAAATATATCCGTTTATATAGATCCTGTTGACTGCACTGTAATGTGTTCTGTCCATTGAGATGACATCCACACATCAGTGTTTTGATCTTAACGGAAGCGTTCCACAATTTCTACATCAAGAAATATTCAAAAGTCAAAAGAGATGGAACGATCCTGTTAGATCGATCTAGATATGGGAACCCAGTCCTAGTTAACACTCATTCTCAAAAAAATGATATATTTTCACTATGATTACAAGTCCTTTTGCTCTTTCAGGCGCCATGTGGAAGAACGGAAGTGGTCCAGAACTGCTTAAATCCAGACTTTGCCAAAAAATTCACCATTGATTATTACTTTGAACAAAAGCAGCATTTAAGATTTGAACTGTGAGTTTTCATTGCAAGAGTCTATCTTAGCGACTCAGCCTGTCATGTATAAACCATATAACATAGGCACCATAGCGATCTTAAATCTGTACCAGTGCATTATTGCCGCTATGAATATATATCGGTCCATTTAAAACTGGAGAAAATATCTTTCTAATTATACCAATTGCAGTTGCCTGTATTTCTTACGAACAGTTGAAGTATAAGCCAGATAACTTACTCGTAGGCATTGCCAAAGGCACCCATAGTTGGGAGATGCCCTCCTTCACACAGAGACACACAGACTTTTTTTCTCTCTCTCTCTCTCTCTCTTTCTTTCTCTCTCTCTCTTTCTCTCTCTCTCTCTCTCTCTCTCTCTCTCTGTGTGTGTGTGTGTGTGTGTGTGTGTGTGTGTGTGTGTGCATAAAATCTTGGGCTGCATAAAAGTACTAGCAGCGCAAAGCGTTCTCAATGTCATTAGTTTTTCGTAAAGAGCTATTGCATCGGGGTCGGGGAGGGGAGGGGGTATAAAGCCACACATGTACAGCCTTTTACAATAGTCAATCTGCCATAGGTGGTTTAAATTCTTGCACTTTGAAAGCTATTTATCTTCCAAAATCCATAATGATACAAAATCTGTAACAAACCGTGTTGATGTCAACCAGATAACTTTAAATTGGTTTTCTTACATATTTATTTTCATATTTTAGGTACGACCAAGACAGCAAATCTGCAGACCTTTCAAAACAGGTAAGTGTCATACTGTACAAAATGGCATATATAAAAAATGGTTGAAATATTATCCTTTAATTGTTTTATAAAATAATTCTCACGTGGATTCCTTTAAGTAAAGATATTTACAATAATTTTATAATATTGTCATCTTCTCAAGGATTTTTGATGCTTCTTAACTTTCACGACGTTGTCAATTACTTGCACTACTATCTAGTGAAACTTCTTTATTCTCTCCAATCTACCAGTACCGCAGCTCGTTCTCAAAATAGATCTGGGGAAAATCGTGAAAATATAATCGCGTTTTTACATCCTGTTTCAAACAATTCTAAAAGCAATTGTGTCATTGTGAAAAAATTTGAAAATTATATCCTATTACCTTGCTTCTTATCCTGTGGGCTTGTGAAGTTATTCCCATCTCGACTTCAAGGTCCCATCTCGACTTTGAGGTGCACTCAAGAACTCATTATCCTTTTACTTATTTGTTTATAATTTATTTAGTACATGCAATTAGTGAAGTTGTAAGACATTTACTTTAAAATAATATCCTGAATATCACATATTGGTATTCTGCAGGATTTTCTCGGCTCTTGTGAAACTGCACTGAGTACACTGGTCACGTCAGGCGTGTGTGAGAAACCGATACAGTAAGTTAAGCCCCCTTTACACTGGATGGCGTCCTTTCCGTATAGTACGGCCCCGTTTGAGAGTGAAAAAAATAATACTTTACTTACTGACATCTGGCCGATCATGGAGCATTCAGTCTGCAACCAAAGCGATGCTTGTGCCTCCTTTTTACGACCACAGCGATGCCAGTTTCATGGTCGCACAAAGGACGCAGAAAGGACGCCGTCCAGTGTAAAGGATTTTTAGAGACATGTATTTCCATACCACAATGTTTTGTTCGTGTTGCAGTCTCTTAAAGGCACAGATCTTCGTGAGACCTTGATATAGCATAAAAAAACTTCCATACAAATACCAAAACTTTTTCCTAATTTTTCTTTAAAATTCCTTTGCCTCCAATTTATTCATAAAAAGTATTTTTATACGTCAAAAACACTCCATCCCGATTTTATACATTGCTTTTAATAGTACTAAGCTTGATTTACTGATAAACCAATAAACAAAAACCTATATTTCTGACGACGAAAGATGTTAATTGAGAGAAAGAATTAAGATTATCTTTTTTTTCCGAGGTCTAAATTTGACAGAAAAATCATGATTATCTACAGTGTATTGTAAATGAGTCGTAGCGTATTCAAAATACTTTCATCTATCTAATAAGATGATATCCCCTACACAATACAGTCCAAATGTTTGAAAATACCATCTTTCTATATTCCTAGTGGACCCAAGAAGAATAGCGGGACTATTATCTGTAAGTGAACGGCGCGAAAACATCTTGTGCTGTATATTATGCCCTAAAACAATAGATAAAAATGATAGAATAAGAGTTTTCTTTTTTCATCGACATTTCCCGACTTCTATCTCTACATGTTTCTTTAAGATTCGTCGTTAGAAGTATCATTTTTATTTCTCTGGATTATTAGAGATCATTTCGAGCATTTCCTATCTTTTTAAATTAAAATATCAGGAATCATTCCTGATCAAGCTCGATTTATATCTTTCATTTCAGTTGTAACCGAGCAGATGTCAAGTTGTAAAGAAGAAGTTGAGTTACATTTTATGGCCGAAAACCTCGACAAAAAGGACTTTCTGGGCAAGTCGGACCCCTTCTTGAAAATATATAAAGAAAACCAGGAAGAAGAAGGGTAAAAGAAAAACTTGATTTATTTCATCTACACCTTGTCTATTATAAAAAGATTTCCAGTTTTTATATGATAAATTAAAGAAGCAATTAAACAATACCTTACATGTACATGTAAATGCAAGATATCATAATATTACTCTCACATTATCCAAAACCTCTTTCAGTTGAATATTCTATCTAAAAGTTATGTTAACCGAATATAAATTGATTAATATCAAACGTTATATTCGTCTAAATTTACATGATAATGTCCTCTCAAAACGTTTCATTGGACTCATTTTACCCCAAGCTCATTTTGCGGTATTTTTTTCCCATTTGCAGAAAGTATACACTTGTCCATACCACCGAATATATCAAAAAGACATTGAATCCGGACTGGAAGCCGTTCGTTCTTCAAGTTCGAGCTCTCTGTAATGGAGATTATGACAGGTAAATTAAAGGCGAAGATAATAAATAAATATGTATTTTTATCTATTCGCTTATTTATTTCTTATTTTTATTTATGCAATTTTATTTTTATAACTTTTATTATATTCTTTCTTGACAATTCTTACAACACAGGTCAAAATATGCAAGTAAATTGACTGAGCTCAGGTTTGCTGTATTTTTATTTATTTATTTATTTATTTTTATTTTTTTATTATCATCTTGACAAAGAGAAACGTTGGTCGACTGGAATTGTCTGCAGCATTGGTCGTTCACAAAATTCTAATGCTTTGTAGAAACTGAAACCTTCAAGATTATGATTCGAATTTGGAATTCAAAATGTGTTGACTGTCAACTGGGCTTTAATTCTTTCAGAAAATTACGAATTGAATGCTGGGACCACGACTTTGATGGAGGGTAAGTCGTCCATGTAACAGGACGTAAACTTTAGTTAACATTTATAATAAAAGTACAAGCGTTGTACAATTACGTATAAGAGAACACAGTGTCAATACAAGAGATATACACGTATGCCAGAACACCCCGACCTTCTTGGTGTGAAAGGCATATATTGCGACAGGAACGCGATGTATTGTTTGATGTACAGGGTTGCTACTTAATATGGAATATTTTTTTATCATTGCTATTTTTGAGTGCTGATTAATTTTTTTTTGGCTTGAGTAATTAAAAAAAAGTATGTCACTGAGTGATAAAAATATCCAGTCTTCTGTTGTGAGATATTTTGGTCAATGATATCAAATCTGACATAAGATGCCATTCAAAAGATAAGAACACCCCCAGAAAACCATACTAACAGTTCAATGTCAGTATTAACTTTAAGCTAGGATATTAAAGAAAATGATAGCCTCCGGACAGTAATATCTTACACAGTCAAAGAACTCACTACAGTAAATCATGAAAAGTCAGTAATTGCGGGTATGACCTCCAGCAGCCGCTTGCAGCGCCCTCTTCCTACATGGCATATCCTGTGACACGTTTTTTAGAGTTTGGGTGGGGATATCATTCCACGCAGTGATATTTAACTGTCGCAGTTCATCACTATTTACCGACCGATGACCATAGCTATTAATTCTTTGAGTTACTTTTGCCCAAAGTTTTTCAATTGGGTTCATATCTGGAGAGCTTGCAGGCCAGGGCAGTTGCTGAACCCATTGGTTTTGAAGAAAAACAGTAATTCTGCGGCCTCGATGTGGGGTTGCGCAGTCGTCTTGGTACACAAAGTTGTTCCTGAAGATGACTCTTACCAATCGAAGCATTGTTTGCCGTAGAATGTCTCTGTAGGAATCCTGGATGAGGTTGCCTCCTAGAAAAACAAACTGGTTCTGGGCACCAACATTAAAATGCTCCCCAAACACGTTACCATCCCCTGCTTGCACCCTAGGCAGTGCACAATCATCGTTTTATGCCCCTCGTACACGTCGGTGGACACGGATTCGACCATCAACCCTAAAAAAATCCTTATCTGGCCTCATCACTGAAAACGACGTGATTCCAGTGTTTTGGCTGCAAACGCACGTGGTCCGTAGCCCATTGCAGACGTCGCTGTATGTGACCTGTTGTTAACAGTGGTTTCCCTACTGGCCTTTGTGCAAAATAACGGGCTTGCAGTAATCTCTTGTTCACGAGGGACCTTAAAACGGGCATTTGAATGACATTCTGCCTCTCATTTCTGAGGACACTGGTTGTCTTTGTACGACCATCACGGCGTCTTCTAAGGAGAAGGCGATCCTGTCTTCTTGGTGTGATACACGGACACCCTGGTCGAGGTATTGGAGTAGGTGCCCCTGTTGCAGCATTTCTTTGGAGGACTTTACAAACGGTTCCTGATAAATGTTGAATTACCTTGCAATGGCTGTCCGTTTCTGGCCATTTTCTCTGAGAGCAAGAACCCCATAGTAAGCTGCGTTACTTAGCTGTCTAACCATATCTTCGCTAAGGTACCTGTCAAGTTTCAAAGCGACCCCTTTGTTGCTTCTCTAAACACAGTTCAAAGTTTGACCAAACCCATGCGTTTTTATACAAGGGCAGAAATTGCCGAAAAGACCACCCCTCACATTTCTGATCACAGAACATGCAACTGCACTCATCAATTGTTTCGGGAGTTGTGTGGTAATTAGGTAACACCCCTGGCTTCACATGGAGTGACACCTCAGCTTTGGATTTAAAGTAGTTAGAGAGAAAATAAATATTGTGTAGAAAATTTACTCGCCAAAAATAATATCTCATATTTTAATATGGTATAATATTTTAATATCTCATACTTAAAAGTGGTAACCCTGTATGTACCGAAAGAATTACTCAATACACCCCGCCAAATACCGAATAAAGCATATATCGCCACGGCAGTGGCGAATTTAGGGGGTGTCAGGAGGATCCTGACCCCCCCCCCCCCCCCCCCCTTCCTTCGATTTATGAAAAAATCACAACAATGGTCCTTTCTAGAAATTAGAATTTTGACTAGCTGATTCATAATTCTAGACCGTACCAAATGGCACCGTTCGCCTTCTTAAATACCAAATTTTGGGGGGGGCCGAACCCCACTCGGACCCCCCACCCCCTTTAAATAATCCTGGATCTGCCCCTGCACGGAGTCATAGCATCTCTAGGTGATTATAAAAAATAATAATTCATATCACGGCTCATGCTGTACACCGTCTGCTGTTTTTTTTTTTTTGTTTTTTTTTTTTTTTTTTGTATCAATTATATTTAAAAAATAAACAGATTTTATCCCACATTTGGATATGTCCTGGATGGCACGCTTTGACAGACAAGGATGCACTACTCGGTCCTTGTTTAAAGATAACATAATAATAATACTAATAATAAATTTAGTTTGAGTCTAAAATCCATTATAACATGTTCAGAAGATACATATACATAAGACAATTACTTAAGAAATCAATTATTAGGAAAAGATAAGTCAAAAATTACAGAGCTTAGTGTTAACGACAAAAAAAATTGAGAGTATTCTAGATATATAAAACAAGCGAATTCTCACATAAAACAACTTACTGTCAATAACTAAAATTTGTTAAAATAAAAAAAATTCTAAATAAAAAACAGCCTTATTTGCACACAGAAAAGATTATAGGTAGAACAGCCTTATTTCTTACAGTGCAAAAGTGCAATTACTATAAAATTTGTAAAAAATAAGATCAAAGGCCTTTAAATTTATATCTATATTAATATGAATAAACTATGCTACAAAGCACAGGTATATGTATGTGTTGTATACGTTATGTATGTAACAGTGAACTTTTTCTATTGCAGTCATGATCTGATTGGAGAGTTTACAACAACCCTGAGAGCGTTGTCAAGAGGACGGGGTCCACAAAATGAATATGAGGTTAGCCAAAAACCACCTCAATTTTAACTTTTCTGACTTTGGACAAAGCAGTGGTTTTCATTTCAGAGTTATGCTAATAGTTTCATCAAACGGCTTTCACTACTCCAATATTTCTTATTCATTTGTTTTAATGTTAAAAAACATAAATCTGAACGTAAAAAAAAATTTCAAATTTAGTTCTCTAAGCTTGATGATGAATGCAGAAATAAATATCATACACATGTACAATTACCATATGAACGACTAACGTATGCTACCTTGGTTTTCCACATAGTGGATATACTGTATTGCGCTTCTTCAACTTATTTTCGTTCGAAGTCATTTGAGAGCAGTACATTTGATATCAATTTTTGTGATAAGAGATCAAACCAACTCAATTTTGAAAGAAAATACACCAAGATCTAAATCAGTGTAATTCTCTTATTTCACTTCGAATTCCAGGTTATAAATCACAAGAAAAAAGATAAACGAGGGTCGAAATACAAAAATTCAGGAGTGGTAAGTTTTATCAAGGATTTTCAATACGCCCCGAGACATAGGGCGTATTCCCATAGATTTAAGATCGATCTATCCCCGTTGGTAGTCTCACTAGATTACTGTCAGATAATCCGGCTTAAATGTCCGCCCCGCCTACTACAAGCTGTAAGTGGGTAATTAACTTTCGTGACCGCTCGGCTGACAGCTATTTAGCGTGAACCCCCAGGGAGTTAGGTTGATCTAGTTTGGATCGATCTAATCTCTGGGAATGGGGTCATAGAGTCAAGTCCTATTCATCCCTATGCCCGGTACAGTTGATTTGTATGAGAGCATTCAGAACAGCGGACTAACAGATCCGTGGATCAAATATGGCGACCCACTAAAAAGCTTGCCGCTTAATTCCCGATTAGACACTGAATAGATCCCCTGCGGGGATTACGCAGCAAGCATTCAAGTGGGTCAGCCATATTTGATCCGCGGATATGTTAGTCCCCTGTTCTGAATGTGCTCTACTGCGTTTCAAATTGCCTTCGCACCGACAAGGTACATGTAGCAGACAGCGTATAAAAGGGAGTCACCATCAAAACTTTGAACCTCAGGGTGACATAGAGTATTCTGGGTACTGGTTATCTATATATCCTCAACCTCTGAAACTCAGGGTAGGGCCATTTATAGGAAGAGCATGCCATAATGATGTCACCTATTTCTTGTGTTTAGTTATCCTTCGACTGTATTTTTAATTAAAAAATCTAATCTTGCTACTTTTAAAACTTTAAACACAGTGACGCTTTTACACAGCAATTTATTTCGGTTATGTTTATTTAATGTACCGTATTTATTGGCTAATTGAATCTTAATCTTAGTGTAACATGACAGGCCAGTTACCTACCAGTAAAAGGGCGGATTTAGGCCGTCTTCTGGGTCTTCCGGAAGATGGCCAAATTTTCAAGTTTACATTGACGGATATCTAATTTTCTCTGTCGGACGACGGTCAAAAATGGAGGATGGATCAATAAAGATAATTCGGAAGCCTGTCAGAAAACATCTCTGGATCCAGCCCTGCAGTAAATCGTTGTTGACGTGCTGCCCGGTTCCTTCTTTAATGCTTCGTTTTATCATTTATTATAGTCAGTTAAATTCAATAAAAACTTGAAATGGGTTGGAGTCGACAACTGCCATGGAATTTATAAAAGTTGTAACTGTGATCCATGTGCTTAGTCGTGATTAAAAGATTTCCATCATTACAAAAAATATCCTCGTTTCAGGTCAAGTGCCTCGATGCCAAAATCCAAACCATGGACACCTTCCTTGACTACATCCAAGGCGGGTGGGTATCACTATCAGACTGACTAGATCCTTAAAAAACTGTGACCCCAGTACATGTAGAAGAGATCATTTGAAATAATTATATACAGCAAAGTTGAAAGCCAGTATTATCAGCTTAGATTTTATCTTTTATATCGTATCTCGCATATTCAATTTTTGAAGGCTTAATCTACTGTTAATATTTAGTGTCTGAATATAAGTTATTTAACGTCATTCATTTTTTTAATTTTGGCCTTGGACATAATCCACCAACATTCCATTTTCCAGAACACAGATCCATGTAGCATTCGCGATTGACTTCACTTCTTCTAACGGGGATCCTTCCGACCCGTCATCTCTTCACTATAACAGCACAGATAGTCCAAACCTTTACGCCAGCGCCATTCGCGCTGTTGGAGACGTCATCCAAGATTACGACAGGTAACTTCAGTTTATGACACTGTTGTCCTTATTTCGTTAAAAGATGGCGCTACACTCAACCGACTTTCGACATCTACTTCGCGCGACGAAGGTACTGACTTTAGCATTAGTTGTTACGAGAGGTAGAAATTACAAGACTTATGTTCTTTCATACCCTTTATTTAGCTGCGCCACAGTTTCTTTCTTTCCATTCCTCTCTCTCTTTCTCTCTATCTCTACACCATTCAATCACGGTGTTCTCTCCGTTTACATTAGGCCTACATGCCTCGTGCATTATGAGGACATGTCAATCAACTTTATAGAACATTCCCCGAACCTTGCTTATTCATGGTTATCTAACATTACATTTGAAGTAAATCAACGCTGATATATTTCTTTAAAATTTTGCAGTGGCGGATTTAGGGGGGTATCAGGGGGGTTATGACCCCCCCCCCCCATTCGATTTCTGAAAAAATTATACCAAGGGGATTCCCTCATGAGATTAGAATTTTGACTAGCTGAATCACAGTTGTAAAATGGCGTACCGTTCCACCTCTTATGTAGAATACCCTTCAGCGGGCCCCGAACCCCACGCAACGAAGGGAGGGGGGGGGAGGGTAGGCTTCGTATCCGTGGGTCTCCCCCCCTCTCCCCACCTTCAAATAATCCTGGATACGCCCCTGATTTGTAAGGTGTTCAGACGTGGGCACCATTATTGTTTTCTTTTATTATTTAGTACCGAAACTTTCTCTTTTCAGTGACAAATTGTTTCCAGCGGTTGGATTTGGTGCTAACGTCCCTCCGGATTTTAACATATCTCACCAGTTCTCCTTGGTAAGCAAACTTTGCTCATCTAGATAAGTGCGCGTCGTATGTACGTGTTGAATCTAGGGCTTGGTTCCTATACCTAGATCCATCTAACAGGATCAATCCATCTCCGAGGGGTTTCTCGCGAAATTGCTTTCAGCTTAAGCACCTTAGATGTCTGGCACGCCTACTGAAGCAGTTAACGATAGTTAATTACCCTGTAACACCTTCAGTGGGCGTGCGAGACATCTAAGCCGCTTAACATGATAGCAATTTAACAAGAATCCTCTTGGAGATAGATAGGTCCAAAATTAGTACGATAGGTTCTGGGAATGGTCTCCAGGATCTGAATCCTAAGTTGAAGGAATCACTGTGAGCTGGTTGTATTGCTCAGTCAATTTATATTGTCTCATGATTTTTAACTTGTTCCCGGATAAGCTTTTAGTGTCACATATACCGTTTCGATTTTTACAGTCATATAATTTTTTGTGACTTGCCATTGTAGAACGGTAAAGGTGAGGAATGTGAAGGAATCGACGGTGTCATTCAGGCATATTATGACGCCCTGTCAAGGGTCCAGCTCCACGGACCGACGTGTTTTGCACCATCCATCGACTCCATAGCAAGGTGATTCAAATAGTTATATCATTTCGAAACCCTTTGACTTTAATTATGCTGCTGGTTTAATAAACGCTTTATCTGCATTTGGAACAATATCATGATTATATGTGAATTAGTGGACGTTTATGAAGACTATAATGGCGTGATTTTTTCATTTACTTCGAATTGAGAAGTCTGAGCCATGTAAATTTACGTTCTGTCCGTTTGTCAGAAAATTTATATTACCCAACACCATTTCATTGTACATGTACTTAGATACAAGGATATGGAAACCACTGTACAGTTGCACCCTAAAGGTACATGGGAAATTATCTATTTTGTTCCTTTCCAGACAAGCTCAAAAACGAAAAGACGGCAAGGACTACTTCATTTTACTCATTTTAACAGACGGCGTTATCAACGACATGCCTGATACGAAACAAGCCATAGTAGAAGTGAGCACCTTAATATTATATTCTATCAGACATCTCTCTCTCTCCATCTCTCTGCCTCTCTCTCTCTCTCTCTCTCGGTATGCTGAGATTTAAAATGAATAACCACAGACCAAAGTATCACCCTCTGCCGTTGGCTCGGGGTCAAATTCTCCACAATTGAACTTCTTCTCCCCTGTAATAATATGTTTCAAAAAGTGCAAAGTGGCCCGCGGGAATGTGCACGTGATGATGTGAAGTCCTTCTTTAAGAAACCCTTAACTTTGCCTTTAGACGCAATAATTACGAATGATTCATGGTTTCAAAATACTGATCTTTGACAAAATTCAAAACACTGTTTATTTCGCAAAGTAGCTATAGTACGAAAAAGGGAGCTGTAGTATGACTATCCAATTTAGTGCTGAGTTTTTAGGGCCTGCTCTCAAACTCTGGTGAATAAAACATACATGCTACTAACATTTAACACGAAAATAATGAACTTTACCGTGTTAATTAAACAATGGCCTTCTTCCATAAAGTACCGCTTTTATCAAGTGGTTATATG